CCAAGGATTAGTCAGCTCACATAGCGGGTTGGATATCCAGGTTAATAAAGAAAAAAAAAGGATAATACGAATTTCCAAAAACCTTCAAGTTTCAGCTCTTGTTGTTTTAAAAAAGCGGTAAAACAGAAATACCATTAAAAAAACAGTGTTTTAACACCAGTATTCTTGAAATATTAATAGTTTATAAGAACTAAACCTAAATATTTCATAATATATCATAAACGAATAACTTCCAACCTACTGACAACCACCAATAGCCTCCCCACCCACCGCTCGACAACCACCGGCCATCCTGCTCTCTCCTACACGCCATTGGTCCCAACAAACTCCATCCTACACGGTATTAAATAACACCAATTTCAAAATCAAACGATATTTTTGACGTTTTTATAGTTTAAATCAGTGGTTTATTTAACACTTTCTGTAAATTACGATTACCTTCTTGTACTTTTATCCCATGGAATAATAATTAATGATGGATAAAAAAAGAAAACTAAGAATACGTTAGGTCGTATTTAAAATAGAAAATTTAATTTTATAACGTGAATTGATGTTGGGGATTTATGATATGATTATAAATACAGATACTGGTTAACCGTGTGAGATATGTATGTCGTATACGAACAACAATTTCATTTATGAGTAGTAAATGATTGCAGATATACGACACGTATTAGAAGTCACTGTTTAACGGGTTTGAATTACTGAAGAATTCAAGTTCGAATAAGTCTAAAAACAAATACGAGTATGAGTTTTATTCGATTAAGTCGGAAATGTGACATGTAATTATGGTTGTATTTATATGTTAATAGAAGCCATAATAATAATAATAATAATAATAATAATAATAATAATAATAATAACCCAAAATGGGTTTAAATTTATTTTATTACTTACATGTGTAATATTCTTTTAAAATACTATTTTTAAATTCTAAAATATTTTTTAATTATATCCAAAAAGGCATTTTTCATACCATTTTCAAGGTATATTCTAAGTCCATCTTTGAGATAGGCATGGTAACAGGACGGGGATGGGACGGGTCTTGTGATCCCTTATCCTGGACTCGATCTTCAGCGGGTACGGAGATTAACATTCCGTCTTTTGTCAAACCCCAGTCAAATCACATGAAGAATATTCGTTTGTTTGAGTTTATCGAGGATCATCGGCCCCCCGCCCCAACCCCGATTTGAGTAACAGCCCCTAGCTCCGGTTTGAGTCTACCAGAGATCCTCGGCCCCGGGACCCATTTTAGTGGGGAATCCCCGTCCCAGTTTGGATCGGGTGACCCAGGTTCCCCACCGGGTAGGGACAAATAACTATCTTGACTTCATTGGTTAGTAAACACTTAATTTGTAGGTTTTTTTCATTGATTACACTAACTTTTTCTATTTTAAAGATTACAACGTTAATTATATTATAAAATATTTCATATAAGTAATAAAATATTATTTATCTCTCTCTAACATTTTTAATTTGAATGTTTTTTTTTATTGAAATATATTATATATTTAATTTTCTCTTATAGCAATTATTTTTTTTATGGATTTTCTAAATTTAAAGAATTTTATATAATTTTTTTCTTGCTTTCTCTATTCTGAAGAAAAATTTGAAAATATAGACAATTCAGACTGTTTGTTTTTTTTTTTCCAATTTTTCAGATACAGTTATTGTCCTCTTATCTGGTAAGAGGTAAGTCAACCTCTTATTTGTCTTTTATTATTCTTCAAACCCTCAACAACGCTGTTTTTCTCAATCGATTAACCTTAATCGATCATTTATCTCAATCAGTCCTCACGTCTCTCAAATACGCTAGACATGCTTTCATTTAAATGAATGTTGATAATAATTTAGATGTAAAGATGGTGAATAAATATATGAAATTGTATAAATTTTATTTTTAAATTCAACAATATAATTTGTTAATGGGTAAACTAGACAATTTAAATAAATTCAGACGTTTATCAGTTTACAAAGACAAACAGTCTTATTGATTCAGATTTCAGACGTCAATATCACCTCTTATAAATCAGAAGTAAAATAAGACTTCAAACTTCAACATCTTTTAAATAACAAACGTCACCTAAGAGAATCTCCAACAAATTCTTCAAAATAAAGAATCAACAGTAATTTTTTTAAATAAAATCTATATATTCATCTTGAACAAGGTTTTTAATAAATCTATTAAAACAAAAATCTTCAAAATCTTCAAAATCTCTATTTTGATGAATCTATTGAAAATGCTCTGATAAATTATCTGTTAGCTGAAAAACATCTCATTAACAAAATATATATTCCAAAAGCATAACTTTAATGGAATGGGGTTTGAGGAATTATGCTTTGAGATGATTGAGAATACTCTTTATGTTTTTCTGTACCGTAAAAAAGTAAATATATCCGTTATAAATATATAATTTTTAAATAATAAAATAATAATAATAGTAAAATTTAAATAAATACATAAAATATTTAGTTTACTCGTGATCGTTTTTCATATGATCCAGATCCATCAATTAGGTCTTGACACGTGTCCATCAATGGTTTTATCCATAAGGGGTCATGTTACATTTACCTCCCTTCTATTTAGCTTAATGACAAAAGGCACCCTTCTACTTTGTTTTATTTTTTCTCGAATAAATTTCTCTGCTTTCGTAGAGAATGACGTGATACGCCAACGAAAATGTTATGGTTATGGTTAACGGAGACAATACAAGTTTAAACAGACACTGTTTCACTTTAATATGATATAACTAAACAGCTGGAGGCATACTTGCATGATCTAATGGATGTGCATGTGCATGCCTTACAAAACAAAAGAAAATGTGGTTTCGGTGAGTCCCTTGAAACACGAATATTGTTATAGAGAATTGTTTGATTGGAAATCTTAAATCAGTCCATTGTATACAGTATCGTAAGCTCTTTGTGGGTGAAAAATATACATACAACCTTTTAAACACGTGGCATGACCACCCAACCACTTAACACTGATGTCTAATCAAGTTGTAAAATTGTCAAACTATAGGTATTGGGTTACTATTATTTGAACCCAACCTAACCCGATGAACCCGATATCCTTTTATTTATTGGATTTAATATGATTGTTGAATTTCTATTAATATATACATCTGACAATTACACTATCATCTATGCTCTTCATATATATGTAAATTGAAAAAATTTATTGAATGTGATACACGTAAGAAGTATGGTTAAGTTGTATAAAATGGTTGATGATAAAAAAGAAATTACGAATAGATAAATAACATATTCAAGGTTAGAAGAATATTTTAATATATCAAAGTATCAACCCGACTAACCCATATGGGTTGGGTTGGGTTGGGTTGAGATTTTCCAAACCACAAGTATTGGGTTGAGTTGGTTAAATGTCTTCAATCCGATCAAACCAACTCATAAGCACCCCTAATATAGAAGAAATCTCATTTTCCTCCGGTTTGAATTCAGACATTGCCAAAAGCCCCTTATGACCATAGAGATTCACCTACGATGACTCCACCCCATTTGTGGTCGTCTGGGGAATTAGTCAATGGACATAAGCTGACAGAAATCCCCATGATCACCTAAGAAAAAGATACTCAATCGTTTAAACAGTAAAAGAGGTGCTTTGCCTTGCCAAGTCCCTTATGGCCCATGGAAGCCATTTGCGATGATGACACCATATCATTTGTGATCGTTCTAGAAATTAGTCAGTACACGGTTATCCAAGAAAAAGACACCCCATCACTTAAACAGTAAGGGAGGTGTTTTGCCATTTTAAGAAAGACATGGGCAAAAAAAGAAAAAGCAAAAGGCTATTATTGTAAACTTTTGCATTTCATTAGGTACTTGTTGCCTCCTTCCTTTTTCCTCAAGATATAATCATGGTTTTCATGATCCATTGAGTTTGGGAGATGGGATTTTCACCTTTTTAATGTAAAATGACTAAAATGTCCTTACGTCGTCTTATATCAAGTAAAACAATCACCGTCATCTATTGTTATATGACTTTGTGATGGATTTTCGTATACGTTCATAGTATTTATTGTAGTTTATTAATGTATTTAATTTTTGTCTTTTAGTCGGAATTAGATTGCCATCTTGTTTACGTTAAGGCACCACAGGCCTTCCGATGTAGTCCGGTGTAACACACAGATGTATACATACATCATACCCACACACAATGCTCTCTACCTACTTCACTACAACATCATGTTCTAAAAGTTTTACAGAATTATGCATTATCTCTACTTTTAAAAGTCATCGCAATCGAAAAGACTAAACCCAGCGACACTGAGCGAAAACTTTCCGACCTGGTGCACTTTTAAGGTGGATCAAAGACGTTAACAGTCGATTGTTTTCGAGATATTTTTAGACGAATTTCACTGTTTCAAGGACTCTCAACTTTTTTTTTTGTTGATTTCAAGAGACATTTAAGTTTTTTTTTGATCAATTTCGAGGGTTTTTTTTTTTTTCCAAGAGAATGTTTCAGCTTTTTGTTGGTTTCACGGAGACGTTTTTCGTTTTTTGTTGATGTTCCCTATATCTTTTAATTCTCAGACCACTCTTCAAAGTTTAGCGAGTGCATCTTTCATACCCCATAAAAATGCTAACTATGAAAACAAGTTTAGCAGATACAACAAGACCCTGCTCGGGATTTCTCCAACAGTTATGCTCATATTTCTATAAAATTTGTCGAGTTACGTACAAACTTACCCGAACACGCCCACAATATTTCAAATTTAAAACTAATTTATTTAATATTTAAACTTGCAATAAATGTACAAAATTTTGTTTTGGATTTGGGGGAAAATGAGGAAGTATACTAGAAGGCTTACCCTCCCACATGAATTGACCAAAATACCCTCACTTCGTAGGAAACAAGAAGCCGGCTTTCTGGACTATTTTGTCATTTAACAAAAAACCCACAAGAGTCCCGGTCAACCCTGAAACCCCCAAGTCCTATCCCGTATATAACACGTAATCACACACACAAAAACACACACACGATGAGACACCAAGAAGGAAGCTTATATCTTCATGGCTCAAGATTACGAGAAGCCACCGGAAAGATGACTCAGATTTACCGGCGGATCGTCCGGCTAGACGTCCGGTGGAGTGTTTTACTCCATAAAGTTTCAGTTTTTAGAGAAATCTTGAGGTTTATATGGGAAAGATTTCTTGCTTGTTCTATGAGGAAACCAGTCCGGTACCGGAGATTATCTCGCCGGTCATCTTCTCCGGCGGAGGAAATGGAACCTGGGTTTGACCTTGAAGACCCCACAACCTCCGGCAACGGTTATGAAACAGATTCAGATTTAGTTACACTCAAGATTAGCTTGTTGGGAGATTGTCGAATTGGGAAAACAAGTTTCATGGTGAGTTTTAATTTCTGTATTTTCTTGATTTTAATATTTTTAATTAAAAAAAAGGTGAAAGAAATTATGGGTTTTGTGTACTTTAAGCGATTTTAAAGAGGGGTTGTGATGATGTTTTTCATAATAAAAATATTTTAATTTCTTTTTATGTTTTTCAAAATTAAATATGAACAAAAAACAAGAAAAATATTTTATAAAAGATTTATGGGTATTTTATATTTTAATAAAATTTATCTGTATTTTTATATGAATTATATATTTTAATTAATTTTATATATAAATTTACAATTTTGAGAAATAAAATTAATCATTAAATTACTTTATTTTTTGTTTTGTTCAAGATTAAGGGGCGTTTGTTAGAAAGAAGAATTAAAATGAGTATGAAAATAAAAAATCCTCCCTCACTTTAACATGGAATGAAAATTTGGACTTCTAAAGCAATGAAAACATTATATTATAAAAAACTAAATAATTTTTTATTATTATTTTCATTCCCATTAATTACTGCTTAACACCCCATAAATATGAACAAAGAAACTATAGAAACGTTTTATATGGATAAGAGGTTGTTTGTTTATCTCTTAATAGTTCTATTAAGAGGCAGACTCTGAATTATTAAGAGGTGAATCTTGTTTGATAAAAAAAAATCTGCGTTCTAAAACCCTCTTAATTATTTTGTATCCGAGACCTCTCTTAAACAATTATATTTTATTTTGTACTATATTACGAGAGCTTTTTAATCATTCTGTATCGAACCATTCAACAACTGATAAACAACCCTAAATAGGTATTTTTTATTTTAATTAATTTTTCCAATTTTGATAAAAATAAAAAAATAAAAATATTAAAATATTCATCATTTTGTTTTCGATATTTTCAAGATTAAGTACGTAGGAGATGAACAAGAGAATAGAAGCTTGGAGATGGCCGGTTTGAATCTAATGGATAAAACGCTGTCGTTTGGCGCAGCAAGAATTGCTTTTAGTATATGGGACGTTGGAGGTAATTTAATTTAATTTTATTTTATTTTCTTGAATCTTTTAAATTATTATTAAAATTATAATTTATAATAAAATAAATAAATAAATACAGGCGATAAAAGATCGAACGATCAAGTCCCGATCGCGTGTAAAGACGCCGTTGCAATTCTGTTTATGTTCGATCTAACGAGCCGATGCACCCTTCACAGGTGAATTATTTATTCGTTTAATTAATTATTTTCAAGAATAAATTTTTTTAAATAATCAATTATTTTCAAAAAATAAGAATTATTATTAATTATTTTTCTTGAATTTTGCAGTGTATTGGAATGGTATATGCAAGCAAGAAAATACAACAAGGTATGTAAATATTTTGAATTCTATTTTTATTTGAATATAAAAATAAAAATAAAAATTTAATTTAATAGAAAAAAAGGAAATTAAAAATGTTGGGTAAGGGAATAATTTTCATACATCTCTGGTTGTTGATGAATCGTCTTTACAAGTTAGCTTTGTCAGGTGCATAGACCTGTCATTGGTCACTTTTTCTTTGCCTTTTTTAAAAGGGCAATTATGTAAATTGAATATTTTATACATTGTACGCTAACAAAATGACCACTAAAATCTTTTATGAAGAGCGATTTTGACTATAAGGTACGGATGAGTCCCACATGTATACCATTTGGGGAACAAAAATCAGATATATATGAAATCGCCTTCATTTTTGTCCAAATTGCCTCAAGGGGCAGATTTTGACCTCTATTTCGTCTTCTAATAAAAAAAAACTTATGATGCAATGATTTGATACATCAATGATGATTTGACGAGACAACAACTACAATTTTATAGAGAATACTATAAAATTTTTATATATACTATATTTGGTCCTAAAAAAATACAAAATACCAATGAAAAATGCCTTTGATGTCTGGTCAAATTGTCATTGATGTGTCAAATTGTTGCGTCATAAGTTGTCTTCACTAGAATATGAAATAGAGGTCAAAATGGGGCGATTTTCACTTGATTTTTGTCCCCCAAATGGTATATATGTGAGACCCATCCATACCTTGTAATCAAAATCGCCCCTGGTGGTCATTTTGTATTTTTTTTTTTGAAAAATAGTCATTTTGTTAATGTACATTGTATAAAATGGTTATTTTAGGTAATTTCTCTTTTCAAATTATAAACTCTAGATTTTTTATTAGGAAATTGAACGAAACAGCCAATTTACTCAATAAAATTCACATTTTAGCTATTTTTTAAGCCGAATATTAATTTTAGCTGGTTTGTGCAAATGCTGCATTTCTGTGAAACTTATTTTCAGATTAAAAATAATTTAAAAAAATAATATTTAGACAAATCATCTTTTAACTCTGATTAAAATGGGATTTCAATTAATAAAGTGGCTAAAAAGTGAATTTGATTAGGAAGATCGACTCTAACAGTCAATTGTTCTTTTTTATTTGATTTAAATAAAAAATAAATAAATTGATAATTATGGAAATTAAATTGATGCATGCAGACTGCAATTCCTATATTGATAGGGACCAAATTTGATGATTTTGTAAGGCTACCACCAGATCTACAATGGACCATTGTCACTCAGGTAACATACTTTAAAATATATTTTCTTAACCAATCGTGTCCGGACCAGTTTGTACGTACCTTATTAATCCCATAAGTCTTGTAAAACAGTCAGAAAAATCCTTAGTGACCACAAGGGTGGTGTCTGATTGGTTTGAGCTTGGCTCCAAAGGTCAAAAGTACCAGGAGGTCCCAGGTTAAAATCCAAGGAGGAATAAAAATTCTCTTATGGCCACGGAGGTTCAAATGCGGTGACTCTGGGCTATCTGCAAAGCAGGTGGTCGTTCTGGGATTAGTCGGTTCGCATAGCGGGTTGGATATCCAGTTTAATAATAATAAAAAAAAAAAAATCCTTAGTGACCTTACAAAGTTATAGGACTTGAACCGGTGACATCTGAGGAGGATCCTCAAATTAAAATATACTTATATGATACATATATAGATTTAGGATCGTGTCTGAAGAATAGTTAATAATAAAAATCAGGTAAATTATTAAAAATCTGTTGAAAATTCTTTTTGAAGTTTCGATTATAATGATAAAAATAGATTCAATAAAGATAGTTGAAGGTTATAAATGTATATATGAATACTAGAATGATACTCGTGCAATGCAGCGAGATACATCTCGGTTTTAATGTTTTGTCTTATTATTTGTTTCTGTCAATGTTATAAAACGGTTTTATATGGTTTTAAAAAAACGGTAACGTTTTTATTTTTGAATACAATATAAACTTGAATATATCTTAAATTTTTGAAAAAGAAAATATAGATATTAGCATCAAATTAACTATTTAAAAGCTATAGTTTTTTTATTTTATTCAATTTTTTATTATAATTTAATTTAGACTTAATAACGAATTAATTTATTTTTGCTTTAATAATACAAGTTGTTATAAAAACGATAATTAAATATTCTGTTATAACTCAATAATTATCCTAATTATATTTTAGTTTCTTTTAATATCTAAACTGAAATGTTTATCCTTATTTGATTATGTTATTTACACGGATTCGAATATGGAGTTTTAATAAGCTGTACTTGTGCACAATTTAATTGTAATATTGAATTTTAAGTAATATACATCAATAAACAATATTTTATGTATAAAAATGATTTTTAAGAGTTTTTATCAAATATTTTATAATATAATATAGATTATTTACAAATAATTTTTATCTTTATATATTATATTATATTCTAGATATAGTCGATCACATCATGCATAGTTTACTGGATTTTTGCTATTTTTTATTTTGGATTATTTAGAAAATATCCATTTCTTTGTTTTTATTTTGTTGTTGAAATTGATTTGGACAAATTAAATAAGAAACAAACATACTTTTGGTATTTGCATTAAAAACCAAACATTTTTTATGTGTTATTTTATATGAATTTAATGTATTAATTAATACTAAAAGGGTATTTGCACAATGTAGTGAGATACATCTCGATTTTAATGTTTCATTTTTTTTTTGTCTTAGTAGATGTTATAATACGGTTTTATGTGGTTTTGAGAAAAAGATGATATTATTTTTGAATAAAATATAAATATGAGGATATCATAAAAAAAATATTGATATTAATATCAAGCTAACTATTTAAAATTTCTCCTTTTTTTGTGTATTTCTTTAATTCATTTTTGGTTTAATAATAAAGTTTTTTATAAAAATAATAATTAATTATTTTGTTAGAACTCAATGATTATCCAAATTATATTCTAGTTTTTTTTATATTTAAAATGAAATGTTTATTCTCTATTTAATTATGTTTATATGAAATTAGTTACACGAATTCAAACATGAAGCTTTAATGAGTTGCATTTACGCACAGTTTACTTATAATCTTGAATTTTAAGTAATATGTATCAATAAACAGTATTTTATGCATGAAAAATGATTTTTAAGAGTTTTTGTCAAATGCTTTATAAATATGTCTGTTTGCAATGTGTTTGTTTCACATGTATTTATAACTATGTATTTTAAACATTTATTCTGAATGAATGAAATATCAAATAATGTATTAAATCATTAATTACATTTTTATAGAACAAATTTTATAATATCTTTTGGGTGTTTACCATGTGAAAGAAAGAAGTAAAATAAGACAATAACGAGTCATGATTTTTGTTAATATGTAATATTAAAATCCCTCTCTCACACATATATATTCATATAAATATATACAAGATAGAATATATATATATATATATATATATATATATATATTATATAGATATCTAGAAGGGGGGGTAGGGAATGAATCTTGACAAAAGGAATTATTAATATTAATATTCTGCATTATTTGTAAGATAAATTTAATATTCATATAAAAGGGTTGTTTAGACAAAAGATTGATTATCGGCAATCCTAAACGATCCCACATGAAATCTGTTTACCAAGAACATTAATATGAGGAGACATATTTTGGCTCATTATGGAGGTTAGCTGGGGGCTTGAACCCAGAACCTATATTGTATTTGGCCAAAATCACGGCCCCTGCCCTGTTCGCCAACTGCCCAACTGAGCTACACGACAAAGGGCAATTGAGAACGAGATTTTTTTTACATGGACATTATGAAATAATAAGGTGAAAAGCGTCAAAAACCAAGAAAAATAAGATTATTTTTTTCTATATCTTAGTGATTATTATAGAATAAATAATTGGTATGATATAACTGATATAATATATACTGTTAATGACATGGTAGGCACGGGCATATGCAAAGATTATGAAAGCGACATTGTTTTTCTCGAGTGCAACACACAACATTAACGTGAACAAGATCTTCAAATTCATCACGGCTCGACTCTTCAACTTACCCTGGTCTCTGCAACCCAATCTAAACCTTGGGGAACCGATTATCGACCTTTACTAGCAATATTACTTCTCAATTACTTGTACAGAGTCTAAATACTGGAACCGAGTTGACCTAGAATAGCTGGACCTCGATACAAAACCCAACCTAGCTTGACTTGGTTTGACCGATCTGACTTGATCTGATGCGATAATTGCATAGAAAAGAAAACTGACGAAACCAGACAGATGAAACAAAAAGATACTGAAAGATAACAGTTTTTTGGAAAAGGACTGAATCCTAATGGATCTTTTGTTCTTGTATTTTTTTTTTTCTATTACCGAATTACTATTTCTCTTGGTATGTTTTCTTTTTGATCTACGGTTGATTGATTATAAATGTCGTTTTTCGTTTTTGCAATTAAAAATTGAGTGACGATGAAGACGTAATCACATTTATCATCGAACTTATAAACAGTTCGATTAAATACATTTTACATATTTCAGTACCATATAAAACTAATATTTTTTTTAAAACGAATTTCAAAAACATACTCGAACGACACAATTATTGTCGGACGATGCATGTTACCACGTCGGTTAAAACATGTTACACATGTCTTAACCGACACTGTATTTTGTGGGGTGGTGCAGTTTGTATCAACTGTTTATTGAAATATGCAATCAATTGCTCAAAAATTGAGAATACTTGTAATGGAAATCGCATTAATCACATGTGATTTAGTGCAAATCATGTGATTCGACCAGTTTCTTATTCTCTTATCTGGTTACTGTTATTGTATGAACCTGACTCGCTCTCTCTCTCTCTCTCTATATATATATATATATACACACACACGTGTGTGTGTGTGTGCAGAAGGACACAAATGGCTGGTCAACGCGACCAAGGTCACGTTAAAACTTGCTCGCACAATGGCTTGTCAACACGACCCTTCTGGACGTGTTGTAAATCACATGTAATCTAATCCTTTGTCCTTCTCGCCCATCTTGTATGTTGACTATGTTCCCGTTTAAACCCACCTCTATACACACATGATATGGCTTGTACTGTCGTTCTATAATTCAAAACCGCAATCCAGAACACATAATGCAACTCGACAAAAATACAAAGCACAACGATACCATGAATGTTATAAACTGTATGGTTTGGTGCGGTGTGGACGGTTTGTACGATTTATGCGATTTCGATGAAAACACCACAATTCTATGAAGGTTAAGCTAAGCAGAAGTTGTCTTTTAGAAAATATGAAAATGCCCAATTTCCCCATGTTTATTTGAAGGAAAAACAGAACTCAGTTCACTACCACCCACAACCCTGGGGGCAAAAAAGTCTAATTCTATTTTATACCATCTAAGTAAAAATACTTCATCCATTCTTATTATCTACAACGTCAACAGCTGCTATCTCATCTTGCTGCTTTATGCAATCATGGATGCAAAATAACATCAAAATATCGACACTTCACATCTCCGTTTTCGCTCTTCGTTCTTCACTGCTTCGCCTTTTCAAGTTAAAACCGAAGAGAAATTAGAAGGAAAAAAAACAGTTTATAAAAGCATCTTATCGTTAACCGGATAAGAATGCAGATTCTAGTTTGAGTATTTGTTTACCTCTTAATAGTTCCATTAAGAGGCAGACTTTGAATCATTAAGAAAAAAAGTCTGCCTCTTAATGGTTCTAAAACCCTCTGAATGATTTTATTTATTACCCAGCCCCCCTTAACCATTAAGCGTGCTAATTTCATTGCAAACAATTACCAAAGAAATATATTTTATTTTGCACTATATCATGAGAGCCTCTTAATCATTATGCACCGAACCATTCAACAACTGCCAAACAGCCCCTAAGCGCCGACTGAAAACAATTGTTAACCATGCATTTTGTAGCAGGTGCTTACAGATAAAAATAATTTGGATAAACACTGTCTGACTCGGATAGGGACATGGTGGTGGTTGACTTGGTCAACACCTCTATCGGTCAAAAGTGTAGGTAAACAACGTCATATCTTACTGGGTAAGAGCCGGTAAGAGACAATCAGTAGTAAATAACCCCTCCATGACCCTCCAAAGCAGACGGGCCTGGCTGAACAAGGCCCGTTCTACCAAGCGCTTACTGGGTTATTTACCTTACATATAATGACACTTTTACCCTTAATAATAGAGTGAGTAATGAATCTCTCCATCTCATAACTAAAGGTAGAACTAGCAAGTAGATAGACACTTATGTTGTAGAGAACAGAGGGAGTAACGTTTTTCAACATCACGAAAGAATCAATACAAATTTACAGAAAAACCGACATATATACTTAAGACAAATATATCCCAGATTCTAAACCTTATCACATTGTAGTGGTGTAGAATTATCAAGAAGATTTCCAATATGGTCCTTTTAATTTCGGTCCCAATTTCTCTACAGTTTGTATATAAACACCAAAATCATCTCGACCTGTTTCTCATGGCTGCGGGTATTGAAAGAAAGGCCTCGGATCTTTACATCCTGTGCTACGTTTTCAAGAACAAAGAACGATGGACGCGTAGTTTGCAGACCAAAAAGATTTCCGATAACGGAACGCTTTGATTTCAGGTATGAATAGTTATACATTTTCATAGAAGTGCATATATATAAACACACACACTTAAAAACCTATCATGTCATCGACCCTAAAGCATTGATTTCATTAGGGGTAAATTGGTCATACTTCCAGACTCATTATCGACTTGTCCTCTAGCCCAAAGGATAGAACGACTGTTTCTTCTAAAAGATCTAAACAATCACCTCTTGAGAAATCAAGTTCATGTATAGACAACCAGTTGGGTTGTGGCACACTCGTTAGGGTGCATTTGGTATCCACATAGGATAAAACATGTCAGGACAGTGGTTCAGCGTTTGGTAAGACAAAACTGGACATGACAGAATAGATAAAATGACCAATTTACCCCTAATGAATTGTTTATATATTTTGATTAAATTTATGTAGTTTATTAAATTATAATAAAATAAATATTTTTATAACAAAATATATCATTAGAAAATTTTTCGTCAAGACTATTACAATGACACAAAAATAAAAAGCTTATGTCGTTTCCAATTTTTACTTTATACCTTTTCTATATTATTTTTATATCATTGATATTTAATAAATTATATAAATTAATCAAAATATAGAAACCATATAAAATAATATTTTAAGCACAGAAAAGTGAAAGCTTAAAGAGCATAAAATACAATAAATAAAATTTAAAGAATGAACAAAATGTAAAGAGGGAGGCGTATTTGATGTTTTAGAAGAGAATTAAGTTTCATTTTGAGGTTATGTCGGTAAAATATAGGTATGTTCCACCTTGTTCCATGACACATAAAAGTCCTGCCAAATGTGGAACAATGTGATCTCTGTTCTATTATGTTTTGTCCTATCCAATGTACCAAACGCACCCTAAAGGCTCAGGGGGATGTAGTGAAAATCTCATCTTCCCCTGGTTCGAATCCAGGCAATGCGAAAGCCCTTGGCCATGGAGGTTCATATGACTCCTGGTCGTTCATGGTCACCTGGGGGTTTAGTCGGTACGTGTAAATCGACCCGGATACCCACAGATACCCCACAAAATTTCATATAAGCACCTCATCATACTAGTGGATTGGATTACATATAGTTTCAAGATTTTTACGGATATATGAAGACTAAATTTAACAAATTTGTAAAAAGAAAAGCAAGAGAGTACCTGAGAATACAAGAAAGTTCCGAGGATAGCGATTGCAGCTCCAAGGGCGTTGATTGGTTGGATGGGTGTATGGAAAATGATGATAGAGGATACAATGACCGATATACGTTTCATTGTGTTTCCAATACTAAACGTCAACGGAGAGATTTCATCAAGTGACATATACGAAACTTGATTGTATAAGTGGTAGAAGACACTTTGGGCGGCCACCCACCTACGTGCGCACATATCATAACTTTTAGCCATTTGGTCGGCAATAAGAACGGACGTCAAAGAATATATTAACAAATTGAGCGTTTTAAGGGGGGTATTTAGGAGAATAATCTTCTAACAGATTTTGTTAAATGCATGACCTTCTGACAGATTTAAGAGCACCCCTACCGAAGAGAGGAATGTCTCGCCTTAACCCGTCTACGCATTCTTGTGTATGGAAGTGATATTCTCAAACTGTCAGAAGGGGTAATGAATTCAAAAAACCCTGCCAGAAGGTCATTTAACCAAAGGTTTCTCTTTATGGGCATCAACATGCAGTTATTCAAATTTGCATACGTAAAAACCATCTTTGCAACAAGCACAAATTTTTTAGCCACTTTTTTGCCGGTAAAGGTTCAAATTACCAAAATACCTTACAGGGTGATTGGCTACTCATAACACCAAGCACCTCATAAACGAATAGTGTTGATCTAGTGGCACAAAAAGCATTTTGAATCGAAACAAACTAAATTGCAATGTGTCAAAAGAGAAGGTTGGTATCATATGGTTTACCAAATGAAATTGGGTCCAATCTCAGAGACGGCATTTTGCCATCCGGCAGCCCACATCTTTGGCCCCTCAACGGCAATCGCAAATGGTGTAAGGATCAAGAGTGATAGCAAAGATAAACAAGCATAATAGTTCATCCCACTAACGGATTTCCCCTTCATGCCTCTCTTGGAAAATATGTTCCTAAACACGAATGCCAAGTTGGAGATCATGGCCCCCATAAAACCTAGAAATCGACAAGCAACAACAAATTAGAACCCATTCATGAACCAAACCAAACAAACCCAGTATATCCCTAGAGGGTCTTGGATGGGTGAAATGTCCGTAGTCCTCACTTCTATCCCCAAAGGGTAGAGTGGTTTTTTTGTGAAGACCCAAAACTGTGAGCAAAAAGGGAAAGACAAGAACCCATTAGTGAACTAAACAAAACCAAACAAACCCAGTATATCCCGCTCAAATGTAGGGTATGGGAGGGGTGGGATACTGGGATGTACACAATCTTGACCTCTACCACCAAAGGGTAGATTAGTTGTTTCTGTGAAGACCCAAAAGTGTGAGCGAAAAGGGAAAGACAAGAACCCATTAATGAACCAAAGAAAAACCAAACAAATCCAGTATATCCCACTCGAACGTAGAGTCTATGAGGGGTGGGATGTATGCAAATCTGACCTCTAAACCCAAAGGGAAGAGTGGTTGTTTCAATGAAGACTGTGCAAAAAGTGTAAGCGAAAAGGAAAAAGACAACTACTCATTAATGAACCATAGACCCTAAATGCAATTACATTAAAAAACCCTAACCATTTCAAGAGTTCAAGTTATGTAATTACCAGTCATGTTGAAATTGAGTTCGGTAAGGGCAGCAAGGCCACAACCACCGATGATTGGTAAAAGAGACAAGTAAACCGATATGGGGAACATTTCTCCCAAGACGAACCTCGAGACCAACACACTAAAAGCCGGCTCACCGCTCTTGATTATATGTGTGAAAGAAACAGCAACCTTAGACATGCTAACAGTTGCTGCTACATGACCAATTGTATGTGCTAATGCAACCTGAAAAAACATCAAAAATTTCAGAAATAGCCTACAAGAATCTAAAAATTATAAGTCAATGGAACATAGTCAACATACCCTGATCACAAGAACACACAGAAAGAAAACCCCATGTAAGGGGTTAATATTTAAAGAAAACAGGTATCATATGAAGACAAATAAAAGAAAATTGAGCTAAAAAGTATAAATTTATACAAACCCAGATCAGATAATCCTAAAAAGATTCATAAATAAACAATACCCACATTACTTTTGTCAGTAATTAAACAAAATCCAGAGCATAAACCCTAAAAAACCCAGAACTTGCTTATAGGGAACTATATTCAAACAAACTAGGCATCACATGAAGACAAATAAGAGAAAAATTGAGCTAGAAAATAAAGATTTAACGAAACCCAGATCATATAATCCCAAAAAGATCCATACTAGCTTAAAAAGTAACATAAACAAACAATACTCACATCAATTGTATGAATAATTAAACAAAAGCCAGAGCATAAACCCTAAAAACCCAGAACTTGCTTACAGGGAGCTAATATGAAGACAAATGAGAGAAAATTGAGCTAGGAAATTAAATTTTAAGAAACCCAGATCATATAATCCCAAAAAGGCCCATACTAGCTTAAATATAACGTAAATAAACAATACCCACATCAATTTTAAGAATAATTAAACAAAAACCCAGAGCATAAACCCTAAAAAAACCAAAAATTGCTTACAGGGAACAAAGATTTCCAGAAATCAAGATCAGTATTGGGTGCTTCAGCGACTTTTGTAGCCCAAGAGACCAACATAATAGCTGATCCAGCAGCAAGAGATAAAGTTGAGGTCAACCATGGGTATGGAAAAGCATTCAAAACCTTCTTATTATAAATGTTAAAAATCACATTCAGAGACCACCATGTTGCAAAATAAACACCGATCTTAACCCTCCTTGCTGCTTCAACCTTTTCAACGACTGATTCCCCTTCAGATCGATCAGCTTCATACGCCTTCACAACCTTCTCAACCTTTGTGGGTAATCTTTGAAATGACCCAAAAGATTGAATTGAAGAAACATGTAAAGGTTTTGCACTCGAGACGACGGACAATTTGTTCAATTTGGGCTTAGAAAGAGGCGGTAGAACCAAGAATCCCGCCGGAAAATTTCTCCGGTGATCAAAAATTTTGTAATTGCATTCAGGAATAGAAGTTACATTGGATGATTGCTTCAAAGAAAAGATCATATTGAATGTGATACAGGGATCTTTAGGATCGAAAACGCTAAGATCAAAGATGGGTTTTGGCTAAAAAATTTAGAAGAAATCGAAGATATGTATTAAACCCTTGATCTTGGTATCAATATATTGGGATTTGTGTAGGAAGAGAGAATTAATGGAAGCAAAATGATTCACATGTAAGAAGAGTTTTTGGTTCTTCTATGCAAACTTTACCAACTTTAAAAGCAATTTGATTTGGACTAATGCCGTAATCTCTTACTCACTTTCTTCTAAAATTAACAACTTTGATGCACAATTTTTAAATATTAATTGGAATTTTGTATAAAAACTGTATGTTATTTCCGGATAATAAAAAGAATTGTTCATGGATTTGATTTTATATTCATGCATTCAATCTAATTGTCTTAGATTATATATATATATATATATATATAGTATATTTCAAATGTAATATGTCCATTTGTATAATCAATGTAATCCAATTAATTGAGACATTTATGGAAATGACAAAGTTTCATTTATTATGATTGAAATATTAATGGAAGAGGACTAAAGTTTATTAATTATAATTAATATTTTATATTAGGAAAGAATCAAAACTTTTATGAAATAACATATTCATCAAATTAAATGGACGGTTAAGATTGAGTTGTATTGGTTGTACAAATGTAAAAAATTACATAATAACTCTCTCTCTCTCTCTCACACACACACACACATCTAACTATATTATAAAGCATTCGACAAAAACTCTTAAAAACAATTTTTTATGCATAAAATATTGTATATTGATGCAAATTACTTAAAATTCAAGATTACAAATAAATTATGCATAAGTACAACTTATTAAAACTCCATGTTTGAATTCATGTAACTAGCTGCGGATAAAAATAATCAAATAAAGGATAAACATTTTATTTTAAAGATAATCATTGAGTTCTAACATATACTAATATTGCTTTTTTTTTTCAAAATTTTTATAATATCTTCAAATTTATATTTCATTCAAAAATAATAAAAAAAATTTTCTCAAAACCACATAAAGTCGCATTACAACATTGATAGACCCAAAATATAAAACGAAACAATAAAATCAAGATGTATCTCGTTGTATTGCACGAGTACCCTTCTAGTATATATATAATATGTAAAATTGTTATTAAATATAAGTTCATGTCATTATTTAACCACATACTGACATAAAAGAAAGTTAACCGAACTTATAATATTGATTTAAATACTACGATCTAAATGTTTCTTTTATCGAAATAAATGATTATAATTCTTTTACAAGTGGTTTCAAAGTGCAATTATCATCAAAGGAACTAATTGAGTGACTCTTCAATTGGATGTGGGGGTTAGGTTGGGGAAGACCTCTCAATGGCATATTCCAAAGGATGTCCTTTCACAAATAAACAAGCCCTTCACCTTACTCAAGGGTTCACCAACTTTTCTACCAAAACATGTATATGGGTCAAAAGTCAAAGACCTTCCAGCCTAGTGATAAAGGCTTGGGCATGACATAGTCATGAACCCGAATTCGAGCCCTAGGAGGGGAATGTTGGCGACATTTAAGTGGGGCCATGTTTAGCCTCCAAATTTGCCGGGGATTAGTCGGGCTTTGGCCCGAACACCCTTAAAAAAAAAGTTCAGGGTCAAAAACGTCTTTCAATACAAACCCAGTAAAAATATACATATTTTAATTAAAGTTGGTGTAAGAGGGGTGTTGAGAATCAAAAACACACAAGAAGGAGAAGCATGCTTTGGGAACTGTAGAGGGATTCTTGTTGCCATCGTTGAAGTCAATAAAGTCTTACACCATCTATCATTGCTCTGGATGCTCTATATTGGTGACTAGTAAAACCAGATATTGTAACGATAAGAGGCACCCAATGGTTGGCCACTTTACTGATTAGAAGCTTTAGGCCATAGGCTTTATATAGCTAATGCACGAAGAAATAATCATAAAAAAGAACAAGATAAAACTAGGTATTGTACTGCAACTCTAATCTAGAGTTCTACCAGGAGACTGATATGTCTCTTATCTCAATATCGTGACCAACACTCTTAAAATAAGGCGTATCTCTAACAGTGACAAGAAAAGATGAATCGTACATCGAGCCTTTCAAGAATAAAAGATCGATCGACATGAGAGCAGCAATATAACAAGATTTGTGTTTTGGGATTGTCCTGAATATGATATACATTAAATATCAGTATTTTTCTTATTTTACACGTTCCAACTTCACCCTTTTCAATAATGCAATGTATGTTATAAGCTCAAAGATCAGGAACTTGTGAAATACACAAAAACAAGGATGAACAACCACGGCGATCCCCAGATACCAGTTCTTTTGAAACGTAAATAACCAAATCAGTTAACAAATCCAAGAATTTCAACTTTAATATGTATTATCATAAGAAAGTGAGAGTTAAAACCATCCAAATGTGCATCTTTTGGAACTTGTGGGGATTAATGGAAAAGATTGGAAAATCCCTTTTAAGGGGTTGTTTGTTTACCTCTTAATGGTTCCATTAAAAGATAATCTCTGAATCGTTAATAGGTGAATCTTGTTTGGTAAAAAAAAAAAGCTTGCTTCTTAATGGTTCTAAAACCCTCTGAATGATTTTGTATCATAAGCTTCTCTTAACCATTAAGAGCCATAATTTCATTGTAAATAATTACCAAACAATTATATTTCATTTTGTACTATATCATGAAAGCCTCTTAATCATTCTGATCACTTAATGATTCTGCACAAAACCATTCAACAATTGCCAAACAGCCCCTAAGTTTATATACCACATGCTATAAAAATAGATCAAGACCAATATATGGGCTAAGCAGGCTTGGATTGGGCTTATATGTAAATCAATGGTTCAAAGATAGGCCTTTTAGGGTTTTGGGCTCTCTAAATGCAAATGGCATTAAGACATTGAAATTGGTTTTTGGATATAACTTTTCCTTCATATTCTTCCCTAGCATATCTAGGGATGGTAAAAAAAAACCGAAAACGGAAAACTTTCAGGCGGGTTCGGGGACGGATCGGGGACGAATTCGGGGATTTTAGCGGGGACGATGATCACCGGCCCGGCCCAACGCGATGTGTGTGTGTATATATATACATATAATATCCTTAAAAGAAAATAGTAATATTAAAATTTAAAAAACTTTTATCCAGTTTACTTCAACAACCCAAATAAAGCTCACGAAAAAGTCTATTTATTTGTCTAAAATCGTGATTTTAGTTGTATGATGTTTGAATTTCTGTTAGTTTTATATTATAATCTAATACATTGTTTGTAATTGATTCGATTATGTTTGAGACATTTAATCTTTAAAAAAATTGTAATTTACTTTTAATTGTGAAAATTAACATATTGTAATTTTTTCCAGATTGGTTTCGGGTTTCAGTTTTGGGTTCGGGTTCGGTTATAATCAACGGTGAAAAAGAGAATTTTTACCCTTAACTGGGATCGGATAAAACTGCGGGTACCCGATGGGGATCCTCGATTAGATCCCCGACGGGGATCGGGGCGGTTACGAGGCCAGTTTTAGCTATCGGTTTCGGGGACGGAGATACCAATGTCCGGCCCAAACCCGGCCCGTTGCCATTCCTAAGCATATCTGCTTGAATTTGATCAGATAGTTGTATCCTCTACGTCAAAAAAAATATAGCATAAGCGGGGCCAAATTTCTTCTTCGTATATATAGTTCCTCTATCAGATTGGAATACCACATCGAGGTCTTGGTTTTATCAAACGTGGTTGTGTTATCTATCCTTACGAAACAGTAAGTTGTTGGAATGAAATTGAACAGCTTAATGAGTCACGTGATAACTCGTCTTATTGGTCTTTTTTTATCTGATACTTCTTTGAAAATACTATGAAAATGCCCTACAACCAAAGTGGTGTTATATTGAATTAAAATACATACATTCCAAATTTAGTGATTTTAACTCCATTAAAATCTAATACATGAACCAAAAACATAATACATGAATATGCTAAGGACTAAGAGTCTTACCTGGTAAGAGCGAGACAAGGACCAAGAGTCTTACCCGGTAAGTGAGGGCGATGACTCTTACCATGATAAACGTTTACCGGTAAATTGTTGCATACTATGTCGTTTTTGTGGACTAAAAATCTTACCCGATAAGTAAATAATAGTGTTAAATTTTACCGATAAACACTTACCGGGTAAGTGTTTGGTAAACGGCCTCTTAAACGATGTATCGAGGTTGTCATTGCCTCATGCCTTTCATTACTATAACTTATGTTCTTGAGACAATGTTGAATTCACACCCATTCCATAGAAGTTCCTCATTTGTCACAAAAGCAATGAGAGTTTTGCTTTTTCGCGACGGAATTTGTTTTTGTCACAAAAAACCCTGATTATTTGATGATGGTTGAAACCGTTGTTCCTTGAGGTAAAAGAATCATCAAGAAGCCTTTTACCAAGATACCCATTACCAAAAAGCATTAAAAAAGCATCTAATGTTGATATCATTTTTCCAAGATTTTTTCCCGACGGTCACACTTCATTACCAAATGGTATATCGAACCCAAAATCACTCTTTGGACATCATGGTTCCCAAACAAGAACATACTGGAGATGCCCTGTTCATTGATTTAACTCAAACGCGACATGTACTTTTGTTCCTTAGGTGTCGCAAAAGCCTTTTTTTAGGCGTTCAAAACTTTCGCTCTTTGAGACAAAAGAAGCCTCAAGAATCCCGTTACCAAATACCCGTATCAAAAGTGAGAAGTGTGTATGAATTTCATTTGTGATATGTAAAAAAATTATACATTGCAAAAAATGGTCAGAAATATGTATATTGACCAGGGACGTTCCAACCTTTTTGGAGGCCCTGCTACATCTAAAACTTTTGATTACATTGCATAAATGAGATGACGGATGATATATGTTAAGAATAAAAATGGGTTAAACCTAAAACGATTAACAATCTGAAACTAAACCTAAACCAATATTGATTTGAACCTAAAACCAAATAAGTAATGGTTTGAACCTAAATAATTTCGGCTATAATTTTACATAGGTCGATAATAAACACATGTAAATTTGGGCCCCAAAATTTCGAAAGCCCTGTTCAAAATCTCACATTTAACATGCTACGAACGGGTCTGATATTGACTTTATTTTCCAGGATCTTGGCGATGACATTTGGCTTTTTA